TGCATAAAGGCAGAGCATTGTCCAATCCCGAAGCAGAAAGCTCCTTGATTGTTCAATTGTCTACTGCCATATCTTGGACTTCTTCAAAAGTCCTTGTCATGGCCTCTTCTTGCTCTTCTACTTTGTCTTTTTCAAGATCTGGTGCAGGTTGAGATGGTTGGGGATCTTGTTGATTCCTTGCTCGTCTCAAAGTTCGTTCAAAATCATCGTCAAAGTCAAAGATGTGCTTATGAACAGGTTGAGAACTTCGAGTCATAAACCACCTAAAATAAGAAAACAAGTAAAATCAGCAACTAGGAACAAAAACACATGAAAATAAACAAAAAGAAATAACAAGGGATTAGCAAAGTTGCTAATCCCAGGCAACGGCGTCAAAAACTTAATGCAAAAATTAACTTAACACACAAATTTAACCCTCTTTTGACAACTGTAGTATAAGTATAAGTAGGGATCGTTCTGGACCGGGGATTATGAGGGCTTGCTAATAACCTCTAAACTGACTCAAAACATAAAACTAAACTTAAAAATACTTAACAAGACTCACAAGACTCAAAGCCAACTTAAAATACTCAAAACAGCTTAAAATAACTAAATAAACTTAAACTAGACACTAGGAATGACTTTGGACAAAAATTGACTTTTACTTGAATCAAAACATTTAAAAACATAAATTAAAACATATTCTAACTAATTAGACACACTAAAGTAAAGGGGGATTGAGTTTTGGACGAAGTTAAAACAAACAAACAAGTATGAAAAACTAGACAGACTGTAAAACAAATTTGAGAAATAAGATGATGGATGGCATAGCTAGAGGCTTTTTCTCCACACATGATATGTATGCAAACAACTCAATTTCCAGTTACTACTTCATTGAATTATGAACGACAATGCTCCAAATTAACTGTGACATCACTAGTTATCTCTCAGATTTTCCTTGTTTTATTGGATTGGATGACATCATTCGACCACCCAAAACATTCTTCAAAAGTTCCCTACATGACATCATAATAGAGATACAATCAAAGATCATTACGTTTAATGAAAATCATAAGCATTGACAAAGCACTTGCAACTATGACATCATGTCGCTTATGCTAGGAATTGAACTTAACGCGATCGTCTATAAGCGACCTTCATTACATGTGAATATAAGTTTGTAACGATTATGTGAAACTTCCTTATATTCTAACAACGGATTTATGCATGCCAATTAAGTGTCGACCCTTAATTAAAAAATACAAATAAGTTATCAATCAAATAGTTAAGCCAATTGCATTCATGATCCAAGAGTTCATAACTGGAATTTATCAAATTATATTGCACACATGATCATGGCTTTGAAATCACCCCCTAGCCAAGAGGGGTTTAGCCACTCATATTGACAACAAAATGAAAGGAAATGAATTTAAACATTAGAAACAAAAGAAAGAAAACACATAAACGCTCCAACGATCCAAGTTGGACAGCAAGCACGTCCAAGCACTTTCCTTCCCTTCCTTTGCTATGGCACAAGGTGTTGGTGAGTGTTTGAAGGTTTATTTGTATGGAGGAATGGATGTGAAGATGAATGGATGTGTTTGGATGAAGGTTGTGTTGAAATGGGAGTGAATGATCTAACAAAGTATGAACTAAATTTATGTTACACACACTTCCTTTTATAGAGGAAGTGCATGGCAATATGGAGTGGTGTAGCAATTGAGTGCAATGATTCAATGTAATGATGCATGAAATCTGAAATGATGGAGGGAACAAGGAATGGTGTAGCAATTGAGTGCAATGAGTGGTGTTTGAAATGATTTAAAGGTAAAAGTGAAGTGATGATGCAAAGCATGGGGGTAAAATTGAGTGGTGTTGCAGCTAGGGAACATGAATGATTGTGGACATGGTAGAGAAAGGAAATGGAGGTGGAATGATGCAACAAATGAGTCAATGGAGGGAACATGGATGATGATGCACGGCATAGGAATCCAAAGGGAGTGCAATGGTGGTGCACAGCAATGATGGAAAAGTGAATGGTGGAGTGACACCCCTTTGTAGCTAAGCTCTTTGTCCTTTTTACATTAATTCTTCTTTCTCTTTAACACATTTCTAGCCTCTTTAGTCTTCAATTTCGTCCATCCACCTTGCTCCATGCATGTGCTATTCATTCCAAACCCAAAACTGCTCCAAAATGTACCAAAATGCATCTTATTGCTTCATAAGGCTTATGGACCTACAAACACACGAAAATAGCTTAAAATACATAATTAACTAAAAAATAACAACATAAATGCATGAGAACAAGCTAACTCAGTTGCATAAATATGCTCCTATCAAGTATACCTTTTCAAATTGAAAGGATCCATCGGCTAAAGATTACACCAAATTAAACATTAAAGAAGCATAACTGAATACAACATAAATCATCCAAATACAGTGCAACTACATGTATATATTAAATTCACAAAAATAAATAAATAAATAAATAAATAAATAAGGAAAAGTGAGGAAAATTTGACCATACGAAGTGCCGATTTCATGGTCTTGCTCCAGTTTCTAATGTCAGAAATGGGTGTGTTGGTAGTACTGGTTATCTTCGTCCTCCACCCCAACCTGCGAAGCGCTTAAATGTCATAACAGCAGCAGCACTACCTGAAGTATCCCTACTAGTCAAAGAAGTAGCAAAAGAAGATGAGGAGGAAGACGATGTATGTTCTTCCATTGCAAAGAGAAAGGGAAAATAGGGGGAAATTTATTTCAAAACCCTAACCCTAATTTAGTTCTGAGCATGGATTTGTTCATATGGGGACGATGATGATGGTCTCGGCTGGTATATGCGACAAATCTGGAGGCAAAGCATGGACCTGCAAGGGTACGCGGCCGGTGAGACTAAGAATGGACAAAGAGAGAATCAGTGAGGAATGTGAGCGAAATTACAGAGTGAGAAAAGGAAGGGTGGGGGATTTGATGAATGGTTACAGAGAGAGTCGGGAGAGAAAAAGAGAAAAAAAGCATGGTCTCCCATCCCGAAACCCTCGATGAGGCCATCTTCAACAGATGGCTCGTTTTAGCCATTTGCGCTCTCTAAGATATTAATATTTTAATTAATAGTACAGGGTCATATTTGCCTTTATCTCCAACCAAGGGCCAAACATAATTTATTATTTAAATTTAAAAACTACAACAACTTAAAATTTAAAAAGGGTGAAAATTATGTGAGAAATAGTGTAGGAATGGCTTAGGTATTTATAGGGAAAAAAAGGGGAATTTTTTTAATTCATTAAAAAAATATTTGGATTCAAAATTTTCCCTTCTATTTGTGTCGGTTATAACTGACAGAAATATAAAAAAAAATTGGGCCAGCCATTTGGCCCTTTGGCCCTTTCAGATTCTATAGGGCCCCATAAGCCCTCGGTTGGAGAGGTTTTTGGACTATTTTCGGACTATTTTCGGCCCTTTGGACCCTTCGGTTGGAGATGACCTGAATAACAACAAACCTAAACCCACCCCAATCCGTCTCAAACGCACAGGACAAAATTGCCCTTCCAACCCAGCCCCAATATCAGCCCATATCTGATGGCTTTGTTGTAAATAGCGTGAAATTGTGAGGCAAAGATTTGATTGTAGCTAAGCTACAGTCAAATCTCTCCTCAACTTTAGAATAGATAATGGCATGGCTTTTAGCTACAATCAAATCTCTCCTCAACTTTAGAATAGATAATGGCATGGCTTTTAACATCTCTAGATCTTTTGTTAAAAAAAAATTAAAAAAAAATCTCTGGATCTAGATCGTTACATGACATCAATTAACTTAAGAATAAGAACTTCATTTTTTCGTAAAATTAACACATAAAGTATTAAATATTGCCATATATTGTGGCTTCAACGATTCACATATTTACCAATCTAATATGGAAAAAATGAACTAGTAAGATTCAAGTGTTAAAAGTGAGATAACGCATGAATTTGCACTATATGATTTTCCTTGAAGTCACATTGATCACAAAAACTGTGTCATATCATCATTTCAAGTAAGGTTTTTATCACAAATGATCCTTGAAGTTGATCCATCCACATCATCAAGATGGTCCCTGAAATTGAAAATCGACTAACGTAGTCCCTGAAAAGGTGTCACAAATCTATGTGGTCCTTCTGTCACAATTCTGTTAAAAATTTTGTGCTGATGTGGCACATAAATAGGTCCCACAAGTTGTTTTTATTACAAATGTTCATTGAAATTGAAAATCGATCAATGTAGTCCTAGAAACAGTGTCTAAAATTAATGTGGTCCTTCCATTATAATTATGTCAAAAATTTTGTTATATGTTGATGTGATGCAGAAATGGGTCTCATAAATCTAATTAAATTAAAAACAAATTAGAAATAGGTTTAATAATTTAATAATTAATTAAAAAGGTTATCAACCTAGAAACTTAGTCCTGCAATCACCTCTGATCTCGACCCACACTCCTCTACCTTCATATATGGTAACCTTCATCGTCTCTTCTCTGAAAAGAGAATTCTCAAGACACCCATCTTTGCACCCTTTGACAGCCTTCACCGAATTGGACCATGATTGAGACCATTTTTGGTGATGACTTCTCTGACATCACCTTAACATTTAAGTGATCAACAGCCTCATAACCTCAATCTTGAAAAGTTTGTTGGGCGCTCCCCTTGTGATCTTGGTGACACGAAGAACGGCGAGCTCTACATTGAGATAATCTGATTATGCAAAACGGTATTTTGACAACCTTTTAAATTAATTATTAAATTATTAAACCCACATCTGCGCATAACAAAATTTTTATCATAATTGTTATGGAAATAGCATATTGATTTGTAAACCTATTTTCAGAGACTACATTGATCAATTTTCAATTTCAAAGGCCTTCCTGATGGTGTGGATCAATTTCAATGACCATTTGTATAAAAACTTGTAAATCTTGTGAAACCCATTTATGTGCCACATCAGCATATAACATAATTTTTTACGAAATTTTGATGGAATGATCACATTGATTTGCAACACCCACTTTCAAGGTCTACATTGATAAATTTTTTATTTTAAAAATCATCTTAATAATGTGAGTCAATTTCAGGAACCCTTTGTAATTCCCTTTCAAGTAAATATACAACAAAAGAAAGTCCTATTGTTCTAACCGCGCCTCCTCCATATTAGGGGTGGGCACGGGCCGGGCCGAGCCGGGCCGGACCTAATTTTCAAGGAACCGGAGGTTAAAAGAAACGGGCCAGGCCGAGTCGAGTACATCATATTTCATTACAGGAATCGGACCGAACCCGGCCTGTTTGAAACGGGTCGGTCCGGGCCGGGTCCACCGGTCCTTGGTTTTTTTTTTTTTTTTTTTTTTTTTTTTTGCGAAACGGAAAGGACTCCAAAACCACCGCCATGCTGCCTTCGTCGTCGCACCACAGCTTCTCCACTGAGCCCCGCACCGGCACCGCCACGTTTCTCACCATGGCCAACATCCTCACAAGCAAAACCTCCATGCTTTCCGACTCTGGTGGCACCTGCTCCGTCTCGGACTGCATCCCTCTCTGCTCTCGGACTACCTAATGGAAGAGAACAAAACAAAACACACCATTTTAATATTCAATACCCAATTTTTCAAATGGCAAACAGATCTGAAGCAACTAAATTCCCCAATCAAATTATAAAAACCCCATTCTTCCTGATGGCATGGGCAGTCTAAAACAGATAAACAAATCCAAATTTTAACAATCGAATCGAAACAGTCCAAGCATAACACAAGCAATCCAAGATAAACAGAATTGAAAATTACAGGAGCTGTTTTTTAAAACTAATCGATTCAAGTTCAATTTAATTCAACAAAGTTTCAAACTCAGTCGATTCAAATTCAATTCAATAATATATTTGAAATTGGAACATAACAGAGGTCAAGGTTCAAGAACCCAACAAAATCCCTAAATCTAGAAAACCCTAATTTAATTTTCAATCCTAAATCCCTAAATCGTAATACCTTAAAACTGAAAAGGACTTTGAGCAGAGTCGTGCGCTGCAAATATGGGTCTAATTTAGACAGAGGAGGCGTCGTTTCGAGTTGTTCGACTTCGTCCGTCCCTTTGAGTTCGTCACAGAGAGAGAGAGAGAGAGAGAGAGAGAGAGAGAGAGAGATGGCGGCGGACGCAGCGAGGAAGACAGGAGCAAATCAGGAGAGATGGAGGTCTGACGATGATGGTGGCGGGGTACAGAGCTGGGATGGTGGGAGGCTGGAAGCTAGTTAGGAGGAGGTCTCGAGGTAAATGAAAGGAGTTGGGGAAGAGAGTTCGAGAAGACTAGGGATGACTGATGAGGAAAAGAAATGGGCCGGGTATGAGTGAAATGAAAAGTGTCGGGGAGGAGAGATCGAGAAGACTAGGGATGAGGAAAAGAAACGGGCCGGGCCGGGGGCCCGTTCCTTTCTATTTTAAGACTCGCCCCGCCCCAATAATTTCATATACCCGAACCGCCCCGCCCCGTTTTGTGTTTAGAAATATTGGACCCACCCCGAACCTGAATTACCCGCCCCTACCCGCGGTTCCTGTACCCGTTTGCCCACCCCTACTCCATATTGTACGGCCCACTCAAATTTTGGCCCTCCATAAACTCTTTAATCAAATCAGTATCAACATTCTCCTCGGGCTCCCACGTGGCCTCATCTATATCCGTCCATTTCACTAAGTACTCTATCTTCCCCTCATCCCCGACTCTCTTCCCCACCACCCATTTTGCCACCGGGTACTCGAGCCCGCCTCAAATATTACCCCCTCCAGCTCCATAATCACACTCTTCAACCCCAACTGCCTTACGAAGTGAATCGGGTTTCCCTGCGGCATTGTTTTAAGTATTTACTTAGCCAAATCCAGCAGCTTCCGTCTTATCTCGTCCTCTACCTTGGGATTCGCTCCCATTCCACCAATAATTTCATGACACCTGGCCAAACTTGACCAGCCACCATGTGCAAAGTCGTCGATCTCCTGCCATTATCGTTGTGATCCAAGTTGGCCCCTGCTTCGGCTAAAACTCGAACACACAACTCTGACCTGAGACCAGAGACGAAGCCGTGCGGTCGTCCCCGTCAACGACGTCGCGTGAGTCATTCTCAGATGCTATAAGCTCGTTCAGAGCAGATTTATCAGCGGTCTATCACAGGCTCTCGTACTCTGCCATCATGTCCTTGGCTTTGGGCGTATAGCCGTCTTTCTAGGAAATCAAGTATTGCGTTCCCTTGCTGCCCTCTAACGCTCTGCTTTCGATGATTTTGTCACCCTCATTGTACGACTTGTCGATATCTTCAGCTTTATTGTCGTAAGAGAGATGAAGTGGGTTCTAGGCTTTAATGGATTGGCTTCCTTGTTGGTCGTTGATGACGAAGACGATTGTGAGGGTGGTGGGCTAGGTGCCAGTGTAAGTGGTGAATTTAAGGTGGTGGAAGGATTGGGGAGGGAAGGAGAACGTGGTGGTGAGGTTTGGGGAGTGTTTGAGGCCGGAGATGGAGTACTAGTTAACGAAGAGAGCGTCCATGGAGTTTTGATGGTGGTGGTTGTTAGAGCAGTGACTAAGCTTTCATTGGTAATGGTCTGAGGAGTGTTCTGGATAATGGAAAGTGTTGGAAAGACTGAGGATAAGAAATCCCATCAATCCATATGTCATGGGTTGCTTTTGCTTGCTTTGAAGTGAGAGTGGGACATTGTTGGTGTTTTCATGTGTTGTTTCTGAGGTTCAAATTTGACACTAAAAGTTGAGGTTCAAATTTAACCCAATTGTTAAACTGATAAGTCCATTATTTTTCAATACTGATAAAGCCCATTTGATGGTTGCATTTTTAACCCCGTTTAATATGACCTTTAGAGAAATGAAACGCGGAAAGAACGCTAGCTAACTCTTTACATTAGTTGGTAGCCAGTGGTAAAGGACGGATTACGGAGGTCTCAAGTTTGAAACCCACTACTGTTGTGGAAGCCAGACTTGTGGTCAGGGGGAAGCTGAAATGCCTCTATGAGTCTTCCCGACCCCCGAAAGTGGTATATAACTATGGCTTGCCACAAGTTGTCCTCCTTTTAAAAAATGAAAAAACTCTTTACATTTCCTTTTGACATGTAAATATGATCATATTACTTGCATCAAGCCCTTTTTTTTTTTGAAAAAAAATACAATATTTCATTCGTTGAAAAAAAAATGACATTACAAATACATATCATGAATAATTCGCCCTTCAAAGGGTCTCAGCAAATTAAATCTAAAAGTATTACAATAAAGGTTCACTAATCGCAAAGCAATGAATAGACTTCAAGCACTCATCCCAGCTCATCGAAAGCTACAAAATTACACTACAAGCATTAAATCTCATGTTACGCGGAGATCAAGTGGAACAAAATTTCAAATCATATATTGGGACAGGGAGTACAATGCCCATGGGTCAATCACGTCACTTGATATTGCCGCCTCAATCCTAGAACAGCAAATGAAGTAGATCCAGCAAATCAAACAGCTCCACCCTATAGCACACGAAAACAAAAATTAAAATCAAGCAACTCTCCTATAAAGAGCAATCCAACTAGCAAACTCTTCTAAAGCGAGAAATCAAAACCAAACTCCAAGACAATTCTTATATATTATTAGAAACAAACAAAATATATAAAAGGATAAAATCATGTTGTTGCTTCACATCCTCCCAACATCTGAGAGCCATATCACCACACAGGCTAAACACATAGTGTTGTTCTGGCTAAATCCAATTCTGACACAATTCGACATCTTCCATGGCTTCCAACTTCAACACTATATCGAGGGTGATAGCTGGATCAAAACCTTGTGTTTATGATGTGCGTGGAGAAAAAAATGATGGTTATCACTGCGACTACAGTATTTCATGGCTACAATTCTACGCCAAAGAAAGTAAATTGAAAGAGACCAAGAATGATTTTCAAGAAGATTGCCGCTGACCCCAAAGCCAAGGCAAGGGCCAACAACAAATAAGTTTTCTTTGGTTTTTGCTTTAGACCGCTAGAGTTTTTGGGGAAACTTTATTACTTGCATTGAGCCATTTTTATGGTAGAATTTTTTTTTAAATTATTATTATTAAGGAGAGGAGGAGGGGTTTAAACTACTACAACAATTTAGGGGAGGGGAAGTTTTGAACCCAAGATGCAAGGGTGGAAACCCAACACCCTATCCAATAGGATGGTGGACCACATGCAAAACTATTACAATAATCTAGGGGAGGGAGAGTTTTGAACCCGGGAGACATGAGTAGAAACCTAACACCCTATCCACTAGAATATTGGACCACATACGTTTTATAATGGAATTTTGATTTGCTTGCTCCTACGTATAATGAAACTTGTATAAAAAATAATATTAATATAATTACTTTTGTCAAATTTGATCTTTTAATATCATGGCGAGAGTTAAAAACTAATCATACAAATTAGAATACATTTTCTTTCGACCAAAAAAAAATTAGAAATTATTTTCTATGATGTTTTAGTCCTTACAAATTATAAATTACCAATTCAGTTGTGTAAGGTTGCTTGTATACGGACCCCTACATTACGCCCTTCTTACTCTTACCTCCATTAAGAAATGTTGCATTGTTTTGTAAGCGATCGAATCTCAATCAACGTGCAGAGTATTGTTTTCTTTTCACACAAGCAATGTTAAGAGAGATGTGAATCAAGCAGAAAGCCGGGCTCCTTTCTGTACAAACCCCCTACGCCGTAAGCACGTAAAACTAGTTGCCAACACTACCGTGCCAAAATCGTGGTTTATGCCATAGAAAATGAAAGTCATCAGTCCATTGCCGGCTGTATAACAACCCATGATCACATGCCAGATGGACGTAGACTTTTTCGTGATGCAATACACCGGCCAGTTCATCTAGAAACATTAAACTACTCTCCAATCAACTCAGTCTATTGACATTTAAATTGTCTTTTTTTTTTCTCATATAAAAGGTCAAATTGTTAAAGAGTGAATTTTGTATCCGGGATTAAATGAATTTGCATGTGCTTAATTATATATTGAAGTTGAACTATTTTCTATAGAAAGTGGTTTTCACACACTTTTTTTTAGTTTTTTTACACTTATGTTTGATGATTATCGTTGATTCCCTTTGATTTATTTAATTCGATAGCCATAAACAAAGAGTCCCCCATTTTCAATACTGCCAATTGATTTTATGTTAGAACTTTTCAATATATATATATATATATATATATATATATATATATTATTCACGTGTTAGACTACTCCTTAATCTTAACTTTAAAAAGCAATCCGACTTTTTTCATGTACAAATGTGAATCTAGTATATCAACAAGGCAAGCAAAACAACAACAACAACAACAACAACAAAGCCTTTTCCCACTAAGTGGGGTCGGCTATATGAATCCTAAAACGCCATTGCGCTCGGTTTTGTGTCATGTTCTCCATTAGATCCAAGTACTCTAAGTCTTTTCTTAGGGTCTCTTCCAAAGTTTTCCTAGGTCTTCCTCTACCCCTTCGGCCCTAAACCTCTATCCCGTAGTCACATCTTCGAACCGGAGCGTCAGTAGGCCTTCTTTGCACATGTCAAAACCATCGTAACTGATTTTCTCTCATCTTTCCTTCAATTTCGGCAACTCCTACTTTACCTCGGATATCCTCATTCCTAATCTTATCCTTTCTCGTGTGCCTACACATCCAACGAAGCATCCTCATCTCCGCTACACCATTTTGTGTACGTATTGATGTTTCACTGCCCAACATTCTGTGCCATACAGCATCGCCGGCCTTGTTGCCGTCCTATAAAATTTTCCCTTGACCTTCAGTGGCCTACGACAGTCACACAACACGCCGGATGCACTCTTCCACTTCATCCATCCAGCTTGTATTCTATGGTTGAGATCTCCATCTAATTCTACGTTCTTTTGCAAGATAGATCCTAGGTAGTGAAAACGGTCGGTCTTTGGTATTTCCTGATCTCCGATCCTTACCCCAAACTCATTTTGGCCTCCATTTGCACTGAACTTGCACTCCATATATTCTGTCTTTGATCGGCTTAGGCGAAGACCTTTAGATTCCAACACTTCTCTCCAAAGGTTAAGCTTCTCATTTACCCCTTCCTGAGTCCATCTATCAACACTATATCGTTTGCGATAAGCATACACCAAGGAATATCATCTTGAATATGTCATGTTAACTCATCCATTACCAACGCAAAAAGGTAAGAACTTAAGGATTGTTGATGCACAAAATCAGTGAGGACTTTGGTACAACAGAAAGTATTAAGTTTGTGATCCTCGCTAGATTGCTCCTGTCATTAGTATGGATAAGTATGTAAATGGATAGAGACAGGAAAGCAAACATAAGATGTACGTGGTTCACCCAGATTGGCCACGTCCACGGAATAGAGGAGTTCTCATTAATTGTGAAGGGTTTACACAAGTACATAGGTTCAAGCTCTCCTTTAGTGAGTACAAGTGAATGATTTAGTACAAATGACATTAGGAAACATTATGGGAGAATGATCTCGTAATCACGAAACTTCTAAGTACCGAAGTATGGTATCGTCTTCACTTGCCTTATTTGTCTCATAGGTAGATGTGGCATCTTCTCTGGAAGTACTCTTCCTCCATCCAGGGGTGGTATCTTTAACTGGTGGAGATGCATAAGGTAATGTATCAATTTCACTTGAAGCTTACTTGTAGTTTCAGGCTTGGTCAAGCGCGATACAAACCATGTAGTAGGAGTCCCCCAAGTTGCCGAGCTAGGGGATCTGCTGAAAGAGGTGACATACAAGGTAAGCAATCAGAGCTCCAAGCAATCAGTCCCATATCAGAAGTTTGATTTCAAGTTCCGGCTGATTGTTCTCATTCTCCCTATCTTGCAGGCAACATGAAGGATAAAGAGAAGAAAAAAGAGAATAGATGATATGAGATACTTTTGCTTTTGAAGAAGTAACTTTCCACAGGCTTATTCTTGAACTGGGCTGGAGGGTTTTCTGGTTTCATCTAGAGTATAAGGCCGACTGAAGAATTTGAGGGTCAAAACAAGTCCATCAAATCTAGAGTACGTTCGACCCTGCTGATATGGGATACTTTTGCTGCTGACAAAGTAATGGATGTATCGGTACGTGTTCTGTTACGCTTGTCTCTACATGCTTCCTTGTATCCTTCTCACTTGCCCTATCTGTTCCTCAGGCAGATGTGGTATCTTCTCTGAAGCATAAGATGTTGAAGATGAGTACTCGAGAGCAATGCCAGGTAAGTAATCAGGTAAGGGGTTCCAGGCAGTCAGTTCCTGACTGGAAGCTTGAGTCCAAGTGCTGACTGATTGCTCTCTTTCTCCTTGTCTTGCAGGTAAGAACAAGGTCAAAGGAAAAGACAAGGAAAAAGCATGATATGGGATACTCTTGCTTTTAACCTTAATGATATGAGATATTCTTGCTCTGGTGTAGCTTGTTTGCAGAGGTATTATCGGGGGGAAAGAAAGCTGAGTATTTCGAGAGGTTTCGTTGGGAGTGCCCTCTCAGATATGAGGAAGGGTTGAGCATTTTTGCAGGTTTGCCTGTCCATTGAGGATGGAGGTCAACATATATAGGAGTCTCCCTAACAACAAGTAGTAATGTTATTCATTTACCCTGCTTGGTCATAGCACGGTAGTGGGAGCTACCAATTTCACGTGTTTTAACTCTGTCAAAGCACTTTGAAAAATTGGTCTGTGGTATCTGGAAAGCTGATGTTGCGTGTGAAGATTACAGACAAGCTTTATCCAAAGAGATATAACTCTCGAAGTTGAGAAAGC